CGCCGCCCACCAGTCTGGAGCCCCGAGCGGACGCGCCAGACTGACGCACTGGGGCTTCGCAGCCAATCCGGAAGCGCGGAGCAGTTTTAAAATGAAGACGACGGGTGAGCTAGCCGTCACCTCTCGGTTTGCGAGGTGATCGGTCTGTGTTCTGTGTCGAAGATGTGGCGGGTGAAACAACTGAGCCTGTCGCCATCGCCCCAACCGGTGAGCGGAGAGCCTCAAGGAGAGAGACAGCTGGGTCCAGCCTGGGGCGGGGGCGGGGGCGCGTGGAGTGTTTCCTGGGTCCTGGAGCTTCAGCGCCTCTTGGGTAGGAGCCCTGAGCCCTGAGCTTCTTAGGGGGGAGAGTGGGGAGCGGGCTGAGAGCACAGGCTTCCTCACACCGTCTCATTCTTTCTTAGGGAGAACCACCTGTGAGAACGCCTCTCCGCGAACTTAACCTGCAGCCCGAAGCTCTCACCAGCTCTGCGAAAGGGCCTGGGATATGCTACTCGCTGACCCCATCGCTGTGCAAACTGGGGCTGCAGGTGAGATGCGTCTGGCCAGCTTCTCCACTGGGCTCTCTGCCGAGGCCGACAGCTCAGAGGAACTGAGGGCCAGAGCTGGAACGTAATTAATAACGATAATGAAGTCTTCTACCTTAGTGACATCTATTTACAGCTATCCAGGCCAACAGAGAGGTGCTCTGGGGTGGTTAAAGAAAATCCACTGAGAATCTGGACCTCTATTTAGCTGTTAGATTTTATCACCTCCTCCCCCGTTTAATCTTTACCAAGTTAGAGGAAAATGCTATCATTTTGATTAGTAGTCTTCCTCTAACATGGACTCACAGACAGAGATCAGACAGCTGACAGAGAGGCAATACTGTATGTACAAAGCTATTTATGTTAGCACTGTTTGTAGAAGCAAAGCAGAAATGGAAACAAATGACCATTTGTGAATGAATTATGATTCATGCACACCATAGAAGCTTATGGATTAGTTCTACACCAACTGTTTAGTGCAATGGTTTTTACATTTGTGTGCTTTTTTGTTGACATGGAGGGATTTGCACATTGTTAAATGAGAACAGCATGCAGAGAAATGGATACGGTCAAACCTCATTATTTGTGGATTCAGTATTTGTGAATTCACCTCACTAAAAGTTATTTGTAATCTCAAAATCAATATTTGCAACACTTTTGGACATGCAGAGAAGAAAAGAAAAAAATAGGAAGCGCCTTAAACACACATTCCCCAGCTGAGGTTGAACAAGGTGACATTTTGTCTTCTTGTTTTAGTGGTCATACTGTAAACAAATGTCTTTCTCATGATCTATTTTAGTGCCATGGTTTTCGAATTTTGTGTTTTTAGTTGGTTATTTCACTGTTTTAAATGACCCCCAAACGCAAGTGCTGAAGTGCTGGCTAGTGTTCCTAAGTGCAAGAAAGCTATGATGTGCGTTATATGAGTTAGATAAGCTTCATTCAGGCATCAGTGATGTTGGCTGTGACTTCAATGTTAATGAATCAACAATATATATTAAATAAGGTGTTTTAGAACAAAAACACATATAAAATAAGATTTGAGTTCATTGGTTAATGAAAATGTTTGCTAGGAAATTTGCAGGAACATACCCTTTATTTCCCCTAGGAGCAGCAGTTCAGTATTTGCTAATTAAGTGTTCACAGAGACTTTATAGAACATAACTACTACACATAATGAGAATTATTTTGTGATCTACCAATAAAGTAATTTTGTATGTTGAACAAGAAAAGGAAGTTAGATCCACTTAAGTGCATGTGTATTTTCCTTTTCTTGCATATTATTAAAAGAACACAGAGGAAAATATGGAAGGATATACATCAAGATGTTAAAATGAATTGGTTACATGGGAAGAGCAGGGCACGTGTAGGAGAGATTAATTCCAGAGGAAGGGCAAATTAGAGAGGAAAAGTGAAGCTAAGCAAAAAAAAAAAAAGGTTTGTCTTCCTTGTAGTTCAGAATTTTATTTTTTTCTTGTTAATCTGTTTGGAACTTGATGAGCCATTTCAATATGCAAACTCAGGTCTTCTAATACGTATTTGCTAATCAGTGATGCACCTATATGTGTTCTCTTTTCTCCTGGAATTTGTTTTATTCACATGTTAGATTTATTGGATTTATATTCCAATTCTTGTAGCTTTTCCCTAAGATTTACTTTTTTTTTTTTTGTTTTTTTATCTTTGCTTCAAGGTATTTCTTCCATTTGATTGTTTAAGCCAGTAATGCCAGTCTCAACTCTGACCATCCTCTTCCAATTCATTTTACTGAAATTTTTGTTTAACAGTAATATTTATTTTCAGAAAGTGTGTGTGTGTGTGTGTGTGTGTATGCGTTGTACATGAATCTTTTTATATACTCTTTTCTTTTGAGTTCAAATTGTCATCTGTTCCATCAGCTGTGTTTTGTTGGGGTCTACCTTTTCTAATTATCTTAGGATTTGTTCTTTCTCTGGTTACTAGATCCACTTAAGTGCATGTGTATTTTCCTTTTCTTGTTCATTGAGTCTCAGGAGCAGCAACCCTGCAAGTGGTAGAAGGTGCAGTGGTCCTTGTGAACTAGCAGTAGGGAGGTTGTTAGTCTCTTATTAGGGCACTAGAGGAAGTCTCTCTGCTCTTTATTCTCCTCTGCTACAAAGACTAGAGCCCTTCAAATCCCAACTGTTCAATGGATTCAACCCATGTATTCAGGATGCCCTCAGCTCTTATGGTCAAGGAGACTAGGTTACTGGCACAGGTTGATGTTGCCCTTTCTCCCTAGGGTCCATGGATCTCTGTGGACCAAGCGCTCTCTAACTCTGTTGGAGAAGGAGAAAAATCTTGGACCAACTCTAGATTCTAACAGAGCTTGAGCCTAGGGACCCCCTCTTACCTGTTCCCCCTAGAAGTGAATTGGAGTTAGAATTTAAGAGGAGTGGGGCCACTTTGATATAGATAAATGATCTCAGCCCTGCTTTTACTATAGGTGGATTCACTTGGAAGGATCCAAAATAGCTTCCTAGCTTTTCTTTCCCTGCTATTGGGTCTCTGAGGGGCAAGGCTTAGCCAAGATCTTACCTAAGCAGAGGTCATGAGAACTCTTATTCTTTTTCAAATTTGAACAGTATCTTTCACCTATCACTGTATGTTGAGAACCGGAATTGATTGCCTTAGTCAACTACTTTTGTTTTCTTTGGCAGGAGGGCAGCAACAACCTATCTCCACTGGATTTTGAAAATGCTAAGATGACAGACTCCCCATCAGAACAGTTCAGCCATCCCTCAAAGTGGCTAGAAGCTTGTCAACATGAATCAGATGAGCAGCCCCTAAATCTGATTCCCCAAAACAACTCTACTCCCAAAACATCTGAGGAAGCAGTAGACCCAGTGGAAAACAATGCGGTTAAAACCATGGTCCTTGTACCCTCTGCAGGAGGGCAGCAGCAAGACATTACACTGGAGGCCCATTTAAATACCATAGCAGAGACAAACAGTTTTTCTCTGGATGAGCCTTTGAGGCCAGGAGATCTGCTGAGAAATGGGGTGGAACCCTGCATGAAAGACAGCTTTTCAGAAGTTGTTCCTGCTATGCCTGAGAAACTTACATTTCAGGACCCTCCAGCCCATCTGTTGGAGTATCCACCAAATCCCTGTTCTGAGCAACAGCTACCCTGTTCCGAGGAAAGCCCGAGGGACAGTAAAACTGAGACTGTGCCTGAGGACTTAGTGTCTTCTGAAAGTAATGCCTTCTTGCCTTCCTCCATGCGCTGTCTTCCCCCTTCAACTGCCTTTCCAGCGGATTTCCCTGTCAGTCATGTGGACTCAGGGCAGGAAATTGTAGAGCACAGAGCTATAGAGGAAAGAGAAGTGAGCTTTTCCATACTCCCCGAGGAGGCTGAACTGAGAGATCAAACACTTGTCTCAAATACGCAAGATATTCCGTCCACATGCCTGACCCCAAATCCAGGAGAAATGGAATCCCAGGCAGCCCCGGGCCCAGCCGTAGAAGATGCTGGCAGGATTCTCATCTCTGACACAGGGCCTTGGATGTCCCCACTGGCCTGGCTGGAAAAAGGTGTAAACACTTCGGTCATGCTGGAAAACCTCCGCCAGAGCCTATCCCTTCCCTCTGCGCTTCAGGACGCTGCCACGGGCACTGCTCCTTCCTCTACTTGCTCGGTGGGGACTTGGTTTACTCCCCCAGCACCACCACAGGAAAAGAGCACAAATACATCCCAGACAGGCCTGCTGGGCACCAAGGACAGTGCTTCTGAGAGGGAGCATCTCCTATGGGGGAAGTAAGTGTCCCAATATCCTGCTGCCTCCTCGGCTTCATTAACCCGGATCTGCCACTTCCATCCCTTCCCCTATCTTTTTTCTCCTCATGTTCTCTTTCTGCTGCAGCCACCCTCCAGATCTGACCGCCTTATCTCGACGCGACCTGGAAGATAACTTGATGAACTCTCTTCTCATTCTGGAGGTTCTCTCTCGCCCGCTGCGGAATTGGAAGAGCCAGCTGACCACCCCTCACCCAGAAGTTCAGGATAGTAGCACACAGACTGACACAGCTGACACCTCTCGCAGTGGGGTAAGAAGGTTACTTCCAAAGTGTGGAGGATCCCAGTGGGCCCTCTTTCTCAGAATTTAAACTGATAAACTGCCAGAGGGCAAAGGAGGCACCTTAGAATATGTAAAAGCTGTGGATCTGGAAAATTCGTTAAAGCTGTAGGTACTCACTATACCCCTGGGGTTCATCAGGACTTTCTAAGGCAGCGGTTCTCAACCTGTGGGTCGCGACCCCTTTGGGGGTCGAACGACCCTTTCACAGGGGTCGCCTAAGACCATCCTGCATATCAGATATTTACATTACGATTCATAACAGTAGCAACATTACAGTTATGAAGTAGCAACGAAAATAATTTTATGGTTGGGGGTCACCACATGAGGAACTGTATTTAAAGGGCCAGAAGGTTGAGAACCACTGTTAACCCCTAGAGTGCCGGGGATCGCGATTGCGCTTCTCCTGTCTTCACTATCAAAGCTTCGAAATGGCGTCCAGTTCTAAGTCACTTCTCCTGTCTTTCGCCAAAAGTGCCAGGAGCGCTATCAAAGCTTCGAAATGGCGTCCAGTTCTAAGTCTGCTTTTATTAGTGATGATAATATTGCTAAATATGTCAATGTAGTAAAGGTTTCCTTAAATTTTTGAATATGTAACTTCATTTACTTGCGATTCATAATTTTTTCCCTAAACTGCTGTAAAATCAGCAAAAATGCCTTGGCAATTTTAGCATAGTTTCTAGGATATTGGTTGGCACTCAAAGGGTTAAGGGAATACAAGCAAGGATAGTTTTAAAAGAATCGGTTTCTATATCTTCATCTTCCAAATGTATTCTGCTAATTTTTTTGCTTTCCTATTTCTCCATTCTCAATTGCCCTTGCCCACTTAACTAAAGAAGACCATATTTACTGCCTATCCTGAATCTTACATTGTCAAGGGATAGCAATCGAATAATAGAAAATATTTGTGGCCTGGCTGGTGTTGCTCAGTGGTTGAGCGTCGATCCATGAACCAGGAGGTCACAGTTCAATTCCTGGTCAGGGGACATGGCCAGGTTGCAGGGTTCCCCAGCCCAGGTAGAGGTGTGTGTGGGAAGCAACCAATGTGTCTCTCTCACATCTATGTTTCTCTTTCTCTCTCTCCCCCTTCTCCCTCCCTTTCACTCTGTAGAAATCAATGGAAAAAAATAATCCTTGGGTGAGGATTTAAAAAAAAATTTTTACTAGGTATGTTTGTGATTTTATTAAAATTATAATACAATGATTAGTATACAACTGTTAAGAATATTTCTCTAAAGGAAATTTTTTTCACATAAAAGCTTATGGTCAGAGGAATTTAAAAGTAATTTAAATTTAGATGAACTTTTGTTGTTGCAGATATATTGATTAACAACAGACTTTAAAGTATAGGATAAAATTCTGAGAGGAGTAAAAATACACATAAAGAAGAAAAAGGGATGATGTAAAATTTCTGACTGTTTAAAAAGCTTGTTCATGTATTTTTAAAGGTATAAAATAGGTATTAAATCATTCTAGTGTATGTATTTATACCATTGTATATATGTAAGAGTGATTTAATAGTTTTATTTCAAACTGTCAATATTTATAATATGGTAGAAATGACAGCCTTTATAACAATTTAAACTTAAGGGCACTCAGTCTTCAAAATTATTATAACAGATATGAGAAGAAAAAGTTTAAAGAAGAGTGTTGTAGAGGACTCTAGCTGTGACAACACAGACTGAGGAAGGAAGAGAATGGTGTCAGGGGAGGGAATTGAGAGTCTCGGTATTGTGGCTGGTGAGATGAAGTGGTAGTTCCTGCTAAAAAGAGATGTTCTCCAGGTGTGGGCTCCCTCCCAGGAGCATGCCTATACCTTCTCCTTCCCTTTCCCCTTCCTCTTCTCCTTCTCCATCCTCCTCCCTCCTCCCCCTCAACCTCCCCCACAGGCGTGCATCTCCTAAACTCTAAGGGACCCCAGGAGACTTGCAACCATGGCAGTATTGGACAGTGGGAGTTGCAGCTCGTCCCAGGCAAACCCCCTGAACCTGTCCTCAAAGCCCCCTTTTCTCTGACTTCTTAGTGAGCCAAAGCAGACCAGCCTAGACTCATTTCCCCAGCCCTTTCTTGTTTCACTGTCCCCAGCTTTAATAAAAGTCCTCTAAAATAAAATAATAAAAAAGAGATGGTCTCCAAATGCCCAAAGATCTCCTCTGGGTTGAAAATATCCTCAAACAATGACTTCACCTTTTGCCCAAATCCTGGAAACCATAGGCTTATCATTTCTTTAGCTGCTCGGTTTTTCTCCTGCGTTTCCTTATTTTTGTATCCTTTCCTCTTGTCTTTGACCTGGCTCCCTGTCCCTGAGTCAGCCTTGTACCTCTTCCGCTGAAGCTTTCCAAATCCCTTTGGAGGCCACTGAAGCAGAACCAAAGAGGAGGAAATGACAGCACCTTCAGCCATTCCCCATCACAGTGCCATGTCCTTGCCGCTTGGCTTCCTCCTTCACACTAATCTTATCACCTGCCTGACTGCTCAGCTCTGAACAGTGTGTGCGCCTTGTCCGGGGCTCATGGGGTACTCCGTGCCTTACTGCACGACACAGGAGGGAATGATGACTGCTTTGCTGGGGAAAGGAGCGATGGACTCCAAGAGATCTGCCCCCTTAAGTCCAGACTGCTATAACATCGTGACTCAGCACTGCTCTTCCAGCAGTCGTTTTTTTCCCAGATGATGGCTGCCTTTCAGCAGTAATGAAGGCTCCCCACTTTTCTGTCAGAACTTTTAAGTCTTTCCATAGCTCTGCTGCATTTGAGATCATACGTGTCTACTCTACATAGCACACTAAGATTTTTGTCTGCCCCAAGATAATGAACACTTAGAGAATAAGGAAATAAAAGTGCTAATAAATATTTGAGAAGGTTATCATTACTGGTGATCAGAGAAATGAAACAATGATGCAATTTTCTTCTGACAAAATAGCAAAGAATAAAATAGATAACGCTGGTAAGCATTGTCCTGCTGTCAGTAGGATATAAGTTGGTTCAGCCTTTTTTTGAAGGATATTCAAGTAAGACCCTCAAAGCAGTTCAAACTTTTTGACCGGTAACTTCACTTCTAGGGATAATATATCCTAAGAAAAAAAATTCTGCATAGATATGGTAACTTAAAAAAAAATGAAAAAATATAATAAAAAATAATGGTATATCCATAAGATGGGATATTCTTCAGTCATTGAAAAGTATGTTTATGAAGAGTTTTTAATAACATGGGAAATGAAGCTTAACATAAGTTCAAGGTTTTTAAAGAAAGGAAATCAGAGTTCAGATAACCTCTGAGAGGCTTTGAGATGAGGTAAAATAAATTATGCAGTGATTTCTTTTTCCATTTTAGTCACGTCTGTATTTCCAAAATTTTACAATAGACACTATCTTTATAATTAGAAATAAAAGTTACTATAAAAAGGAAATTTTTACCTACATCTGGATATTTTTCTGACTTGACTTTATCAAACTGTGACCTTGCTCCTGTTTTTAATAGGAAAGGCTCCTATATCTCAGTGGGTAGGAGGGGAAATGAGGTACTGGTGATGCATGCTGTCTATGCAAAAGGAACAACTCTGTTTCTCTGCCTAGATAAATAAGAAACTGGAGCATCTTCACGGAAACCGAGAGATTGGACAGACTTTGCAGCAGACCAGGAATGTCATGGTAAGTGTTGATTGACCTTATACCACCACTGGGTCACCTGTGAAAATCAAGAATGGAGCCAATGGTGGTAATCAGCCATGGTATGAAGGGAGGAAGGTCTCCAAACCTTTGTTAAGAACATCTTCTCCTTGCCCTAGCTGGTTTGGCTCAGTGGATAGAGCGTCGGCCTGCGGACTAAAGGGTCCAGGGTTTGATTGTGGTCAGGGGCACATGCCCGGGTTGCAGGCTCGATCCCTGGTGGGGTGCATGCAGGAGGCAGCTGATCAATGATTCTCTCTCATCATTGATGTTTCGATCTCCCTCTTCATCTCTGAAAGCAATAAAAATAGATTTTTAAAAAAAAGAACATCTCCTCCTAATTGGAGCTTGAAATTGGGGTTAGTGTTTTCCTGCTTAGTGACTTTATTTGATCTAGGCTAACCACCTTTTCCTTTACAGCAGTCATGGGTTCTGGTCTCTAAAGAGCTGATATCCTTGCTTTACCTGTCTCTGTTGCACTTAGAAGAAGATAAAACTACTGTGAGTCAGGAGGTAAGCAGTATGACGATGAAGGCAGAGGCCTCTGGTGGGACCGAAAGCCAAAAGAAGGAACCAGACAGCATCTGATTCTTATCTTGTAGTCTCGGCGTACAGAAACCTTGGTCTCCTGCTGTTTTGATGTGTTGAAGAAATTGAGGGCAAGGCTCCAGAGTCTCAAAACAGAAAGGGAGGAGGCAAAGCACGGAGAGGAAATGGCCCTCAGAGGCAAGGATGCGGTAAGGTGTCAGGCTTTTGTTCCTGGATGTGGGAGGTTTTTTCCTCAGGCTTCCTGCACGAACACAAATTTACTTGAGACAGACATGAGGGGCCTGGGAATTGCCTGCCCTGGAGAATAATGAATTAAACTACTGATGTGCCAGATAGCAAGGCTTTTGGTGCTGTTTCCCTCCTCTGCCCACCGTATCCTCACAACCCCTTCCCTAAACAGGCAGAGTCGGTGCTAGAGGCTTTCTGTGCACATGCCAGTCAACGCATCAGCCAGTTGCAACAGAACCTGGCATCCATGGGGGAATTCAGAGGACTCTTGAAGGAGACCCAGACCCAACTGGTAATTTGAGTGCATTTTCTTTATTGAGATCCAGGCTGATTCACGGGAGCATGGTCATTTACCCCCACTTTGTTGTATCCAGAGGAAGGGAGCCCTTCCATAGGCACTTCTTCTTGTATAGGTAGGTTTTCATACTGAGCAAGAAGAGGTGGCTCAGGAGACAGCAAGCTTTACCTCAATCTTGCAACAGGACTGGATGTCCATGCAACAGGATGTGAGTATTTGGGACCATCATACCACTCCTTTAGTCACAGCCAACCCTGTTAGGAACCTTGCCTCAAGAGTGCTTGACTGACCTGCTTGCTTCCCCTGGTAGTATATAACATGGACAGCTCTGCTGAGCCGGTCTCGAGAACTCACAGAGAAGCTCACAGCCAAGAGCCGGCAGACCCTACAGGAACGTGATGCTGCAGTTGAGGAAAAGCAGCAGGTACAAACCAGGAGTGGGGACTGCTTAGGCCTGGTTTCCTCCTTCTCTACAGAAGGCCTTTCTAATGCGTAGCCTCTTACCCTGGACTGGGCTTCCTACCCTGTGGGTTTGGAGACCATCCAGGTTCCTTCCCTGTAAGATGGCCTTGGGTCTAGTAATTTCCTTTGTCCTTCAGCATCTTCAACAATTTTTCTTCCTGTTTCTACTTTTTCCTGAGGATCAGCCTTATTTGCTGCAGTGTTGCTGCCCAGGAGCAAGGTGGTTTGCTGTTCTGTCCAGAAAGAGAAGCTGGACCAAGTCCTGGGATTTGACTCTGGAGGAACTGTGGGAGGAAAATGATCTTTTCTTCCTAGGTTTCCAGGGAGCTGGAACAAGTCTCTGCCCAGTTAGAGGACTGCAAAGGCCAAATAGAGCAACTGGAGTTGGAAAATAGTCGCCTAGCAACAGGTGTGTGTGCATGCATGTAAGCAGTTGTGCCCTGCTAAGGCTTGGGGTGTGGCAGTAGAACAAGAAAGTGCTCTAGAACACTTGTTTGGAGCACAAGTGTGGGGAGGTGCTGGCCTGGTGACCACATGGTGTGATTAGGATACTTTTGGTTTAGATCTCCGAGCTCAGCTACAGATGCTGGCCAGCATGCAGAGTCAGCTACAAGAGCTACAGAGTCAGCATGCCCACTGTACCCGGGACCTGGCCATGAAGGATGAGTTGCTCTGCCAGCTTACCCAGAGCAACGAGAAGCAGGCTACTCAGTGAGTTCCTATCAGGTTATTGTGGCAGTAGGTGCCCAGGATATAGGGCCAGTGGAATCTAACGTCAGGTCTCTGGCAGATGGCAAAAGGAAGAGATGACACTAAAACACATACAAGCAGAGCTGCAGCAACAACATGCTGTCCTGGCCAAGGAGGTGCAGGACCTGAAGGAGACTCTGGAGGTAAGGAATATGGCCTGGGGCAGGGGAGCTGGCAGGAGTGTGACTCTTACCTGGTGGTATTGAGATGAGGTTTGAGACTAGAGACTAGAAAATGCCTTTGTCCCAAGGGCTCTAATAAGTCCCACTTAGATTCATTTTCTCCCCTCTCTTTCTCGCTCCTTTCCTTTCTTCCTTCTCCCATCTCCCATCTCCCCAGTTTGCAGACCAAGAGAACCAGGTAGCTCATTTGGAGCTGGGCCAGGTTGAGTGTCAGTTGAAAAGCACACTGGAAGTGCTCCGGGAGCGCAGCCTGCAGTGTGAGGACCTCAAGGACACTGTAGAGAACCTGAAGTAAGATGTCTACCTTTTTGTGCTTATCTTTAATTGCTTATCTTTCCCAGAAACCCTTCTAGAAGCTAACGTCTCCAAGGATGGAATTGTCCAACAGCCTTTTGTTTCCCTCTTTGAATGCAGTTCTATGTGGGATTTGGGAGAGGTGTTCAGAGAAGGTCACATGGTCTCTCTGTTCCTTCCTTATTTCAGGGATAAACTGGCTAGCACCGTAGCAGAGAACCAGGAGAAAGACCTGGAGAAGACACGCCAGTATTCCCAAGAGCTAAGGGTGCTGACTGAGCAACTACAGAACCTGACCTTCTTCCTACACACAAAACTAAAGGAGACGGTAGGATCTGGGGGTTCCTTCTCTTCCCTTCCAATCATATCTTTGAATAAAGATGGTTTCATTTCTTCTTTCCCAATCTGCATATCTCTTGTTTCCTTTTCTTGTCTTACTGCATTAGTTAGAACTTTCTCTACGATGTTGAAAAGGAGAGAGAGGGGACAACCTTGCTTTGTACCTGATCTTAAAGGGAAAGCTTCAAGTTTCTTGTTAGCTGTAGGTTTTTTGTAGATAAATTTTTTTAAAATGATTTGAGAGAGAGAGAGAGGAAGGGAGAGGGATAGAGAGATAGAAACATTGATGAGAGAGAAACATAGATTGGCTGGGGATCAAACCTGCAACCTGAGCCTGTGCCCTGATCAGGAATCGAATTGGTGACTTCTTGGTTCATGGGTCACCGCTCAATCACTGAGCCACAACAGCTGGGCTGTAGATATATATATAGGTTCCTAACAAGGTTCCTAACAGGGTTGGCTGTGACTATATATTAGAAATAAAAGTTACTATAAAAAGGAAATTTTTACCTACATCTGGATATTTTTCTGACTTGACTTTATCAAACTGTGACCTTGCTCCTGTTTTTAATAGGAAAGGCTCCTATATCTCAGTGGGTAGGAGGGGAAATGAGGTACTGGTGATGCATGCTGTCTATGCAAAAGGAACAACTCTGTTTCTCTGCCTAGATAAATAAGAAACTGGAGCATCTTCACGGAAACCGAGAGATTGGACAGACTTTGCAGCAGACCAGGAATGTCATGGTAAGTGTTGATTGACCTTATACCACCACTGGGTCACCTGTGAAAATCAAGAATGGAGCCAATGGTGGTAATCAGCCATGGTATGAAGGGAGGAAGGTCTCCAAACCTTTGTTAAGAACATCTTCTCCTTGCCCTAGCTGGTTTGGCTCAGTGGATAGAGCGTCAGCCTGCGGACTAAAGGGTCCAGGGTTTGATTGTGGTCAGGGGCACATGCCCGGGTTGCAGGCTCGATCCCTGGTGGGGTGCATGCAGGAGGCAGCTGATCAATGATTCTCTCTCATCATTGATGTTTCGATCTCCCTCTTCATCTCTGAAAGCAATAAAAATAGATTTTTAAAAAAAAGAACATCTCCTCCTAATTGGAGCTTGAAATTGGGGTTAGTGTTTTCCTGCTTAGTGACTTTATTTGATCTAGGCTAACCACCTTTTCCTTTACAGCAGTCATGGGTTCTGGTCTCTAAAGAGCTGATATCCTTGCTTTACCTGTCTCTGTTGCACTTAGAAGAAGATAAAACTACTGTGAGTCAGGAGGTAAGCAGTATGACGATGAAGGCAGAGGCCTCTGGTGGGACCGAAAGCCAAAAGAAGGAACCAGACAGCATCTGATTCTTATCTTGTAGTCTCGGCGTACAGAAACCTTGGTCTCCTGCTGTTTTGATGTGTTGAAGAAATTGAGGGCAAGGCTCCAGAGTCTCAAAACAGAAAGGGAGGAGGCAAAGCACGGAGAGGAAATGGCCCTCAGAGGCAAGGATGCGGTAAGGTGTCAGGCTTTTGTTCCTGGATGTGGGAGGTTTTTTCCTCAGGCTTCCTGCACGAACACAAATTTACTTGAGACAGACATGAGGGGCCTGGGAATTGCCTGCCCTGGAGAATAATGAATTAAACTACTGATGTGCCAGATAGCAAGGCTTTTGGTGCTGTTTCCCTCCTCTGCCCACCGTATCCTCACAACCCCTTCCCTAAACAGGCAGAGTCGGTGCTAGAGGCTTTCTGTGCACATGCCAGTCAACGCATCAGCCAGTTGCAACAGAACCTGGCATCCATGGGGGAATTCAGAGGACTCTTGAAGGAGACCCAGACCCAACTGGTAATTTGAGTGCATTTTCTTTATTGAGATCCAGGCTGATTCACGGGAGCATGGTCATTTACCCCCACTTTGTTGTATCCAGAGGAAGGGAGCCCTTCCATAGGCACTTCTTCTTGTATAGGTAGGTTTTCATACTGAGCAAGAAGAGGTGGCTCAGGAGACAGCAAGCTTTACCTCAATCTTGCAACAGGACTGGATGTCCATGCAACAGGATGTGAGTATTTGGGACCATCATACCACTCCTTTAGTCACAGCCAACCCTGTTAGGAACCTTGCCTCAAGAGTGCTTGACTGACCTGCTTGCTTCCCCTGGTAGTATATAACATGGACAGCTCTGCTGAGCCGGTCTCGAGAACTCACAGAGAAGCTCACAGCCAAGAGCCGGCAGACCCTACAGGAACGTGATGCTGCAGTTGAGGAAAAGCAGCAGGTACAAACCAGGAGTGGGGACTGCTTAGGCCTGGTTTCCTCCTTCTCTACAGAAGGCCTTTCTAATGCGTAGCCTCTTACCCTGGACTGGGCTTCCTACCCTGTGGGTTTGGAGACCATCCAGGTTCCTTCCCTGTAAGATGGCCTTGGGTCTAGTAATTTCCTTTGTCCTTCAGCATCTTCAACAATTTTTCTTCCTGTTTCTACTTTTTCCTGAGGATCAGCCTTATTTGCTGCAGTGTTGCTGCCCAGGAGCAAGGTGGTTTGCTGTTCTGTCCAGAAAGAGAAGCTGGACCAAGTCCTGGGATTTGACTCTGGAGGAACTGTGGGAGGAAAATGATCTTTTCTTCCTAGGTTTCCAGGGAGCTGGAACAAGTCTCTGCCCAGTTAGAGGACTGCAAAGGCCAAATAGAGCAACTGGAGTTGGAAAATAGTCGCCTAGCAACAGGTGTGTGTGCATGCATGTAAGCAGTTGTGCCCTGCTAAGGCTTGGGGTGTGGCAGTAGAACAAGAAAGTGCTCTAGAACACTTGTTTGGAGCACAAGTGTGGGGAGGTGCTGGCCTGGTGACCACATGGTGTGATTAGGATACTTTTGGTTTAGATCTCCGAGCTCAGCTACAGATGCTGGCCAGCATGCAGAGTCAGCTACAAGAGCTACAGAGTCAGCATGCCCACTGTACCCGGGACCTGGCCATGAAGGATGAGTTGCTCTGCCAGCTTACCCAGAGCAACGAGAAGCAGGCTACTCAGTGAGTTCCTATCAGGTTATTGTGGCAGTAGGTGCCCAGGATATAGGGCCAGTGGAATCTAACGTCAGGTCTCTGGCAGATGGCAAAAGGAAGAGATGACACTAAAACACATACAAGCAGAGCTGCAGCAACAACATGCTGTCCTGGCCAAGGAGGTGCAGGACCTGAAGGAGACTCTGGAGGTAAGGAATATGGCCTGGGGCAGGGGAGCTGGCAGGAGTGTGACTCTTACCTGGTGGTATTGAGATGAGGTTTGAGACTAGAGACTAGAAAATGCCTTTGTCCCAAGGGCTCTAATAAGTCCCACTTAGATTCATTTTCTCCCCTCTCTTTCTCGCTCCTTTCCTTTCTTCCTTCTCCCATCTCCCATCTCCCCAGTTTGCAGACCAAGAGAACCAGGTAGCTCATTTGGAGCTGGGCCAGGTTGAGTGTCAGTTGAAAAGCACACTGGAAGTGCTCCGGGAGCGCAGCCTGCAGTGTGAGGACCTCAAGGACACTGTAGAGAACCTGAAGTAAGATGTCTACCTTTTTGTGCTTATCTTTAATTGCTTATCTTTCCCAGAAACCCTTCTAGAAGCTAACGTCTCCAAGGATGGAATTGTCCAACAGCCTTTTGTTTCCCTCTTTGAATGCAGTTCTATGTGGGATTTGGGAGAGGTGTTCAGAGAAGGTCACATGGTCTCTCTGTTCCTTCCTTATTTCAGGGATAAACTGGCTAGCACCGTAGCAGAGAACCAGGAGAAAGACCTGGAGAAGACACGCCAGTATTCCCAAGAGCTAAGGGTGCTGACTGAGCAACTACAGAACCTGACCTTCTTCCTACACACAAAACTAAAGGAGACGGTAGGATCTGGGGGTTCCTTCTCTTCCCTTCCAATCATATCTTTGAATAAAGATGGTTTCATTTCTTCTTTCCCAATCTGCATATCTCTTGTTTCCTTTTCTTGTCTTACTGCATTAGTTAGAACTTTCTCTACGATGTTGAAAAGGAGAGAGAGGGGACAACCTTGCTTTGTACCTGATCTTAAAGGGAAAGCTTCAAGTTTCTTGTTAGCTGTAGGTTTTTTGTAGATAAATTTTTTTAAAATGATTTGAGAGAGAGAGAGAGGAAGGGAGAGGGATAGAGAGATAGAAACATTGATGAGAGAGAAACATAGATTGGCTGGGGATCAAACCTGCAACCTGAGCCTGTGCCCTGATCAGGAATCGAATTGGTGACTTCTTGGTTCATGGGTCACCGCTCAATCACTGAGCCACAACAGCTGGGCTGTAGATATATATATAGGTTCCTAACAAGGTTCCTAACAGGGTTGGCTGTGACTATAT